TTAAATCATTTTTTTCTGGGTCATTTCAGTTGGATCATTTCTATGAATCATTTCTTCTGCAATATTTCTGTTGAATTATTTCTATCGAATAATTTCTTCTGGATCATTTCTATTAAATCATTTCTTTCGGATCATTTTGTTGAATGTTTCCTGTTGATTCCTTTCTTCTGCATTATTACTGTTGGATCTTTTCTATCGATTTATTTCGTTCTGATCATTTCTGTTGGATCATTCTGTTGGATCATTTCTATCGAATAATTTCTTCTGGGTCATTTCTGTTAAATCTTTCCTATTGATTCAGTTCTACTGCATTATTTCGGCTGGATCTTTGCTACTGATTCAGTTCTTCTGGATCATTTCTATTAAATAATTTCTTTCGGATCATTTTTGTTGAATCTTTCCTGTTGATTCATTTCTTCTGCATTATTACTGTTGGATCTTTTCTATTGATTTATTTTGTTCTGATCATTTCTGTTGGATCATTTTGTTGGATCATTTCTATTGAATCATTTCTATTGAATCAGTCATTTCTGTTGGATAATTTTTATCAGATAATTTCTATTCTGTTGGTCTGTTTATCCTGAAATGTTCACACAATGTAAAGATCAGTTAGAGTCTAATAATAGTGTAAAACAATAAATACATAAGTAAATAAATAAACAAATAAATAAAGGTTAGAAGTTCTCGGTCAGACAGTGATGAAATGTTCCTGTATCTCTGGTTCTGTTTAGTTTATTAGAGCACATTTTGCCCATTTGTTTATGTGTATCTGAGTCCTGTTTAACATCCCTCTTTATGTTATCATTCATAACTGATGGTGAAACAGTGGTGGGACAGATACACTGTTGTGCTGTTATAGCGTGAGTATTTATTATTACATTGTTATTACAGTGATTCAGTAGCCGCCGCTGTGTGAGTCTGAGCGGTCAGTTCTCCGCGGCTGAAAGACGGACAGTGTTAGAAATATAACAAGCTGTCGAGGTTGAAGGTCAGAACGACTGATAAAAAACTCCATTAAACGCCTACATTACTCAACATTCTTACAGAAAAACGAGAAAAATAAATGTTTCATTTTAATAACTGAATGGAAAATATTACTTCTTTCCTTATTGTTGATATTATTATTATTATTAGTATTATTATTATTATTATTGCAGCATTAATGTCTTACTACATTTATTACTATTATTCTGCACTGTTGCACCAATTCTATTGAATCATTTTAATTTTTAATAAGCCTGAACTGAACTGAAATGCTGTAATCAATAAATCATCATTTTCATAGCATTAAAATTCTGATCTAAACATTCAATATGTATTAATATTCAATGTGTCAGGTTACTGAGTGTTTATGCACAATTATCAAACATTTGTAGCAGCGCCAGTTTAGATGCACTGAATGCTAATGCTAATGCTAGCTCAGTCAACTAGCAAGCATGTCCGTTTTACAACGTGAACTGTTAACATTAAAGTGGTCTAATCAATAATCTAATCTAAATAATCTAATTCCTCCAGTGCCTCCTCATATAGTCAATCAGCCGAGACGTGTATGGTGTCTGAAGTTCATTAGTCTTAGCTCTGGAGCTACAATGCTAACGAGCTAACAAGTAAAGGTGGCTGCTGCTGTGTTCAGCTATGCTAATGTGCTTTAGTCCATGTTTATAGATACAGTGAATCATAAGATCATCAGAAACCACATCATCAAGACTATTAGAGATGATGTTTAACATTAGCTAACTAATTAGCATGCTAATTGGTGTACATAAGCTTCCATCACTTCTTAGCTACATTAGCCTCGTAGCTCCAGCGCTAAAACTAGAGAAGCTAACACGTCTTGGCTGATTTTGGTGTGAGGGGGACTTTCTGTTGAACTATCGCTTTAATGCCACTCAAAGTTTTTGCAGCGAAAATAAAAAAGGAACTTCTGTAAGTTTAACGGGACGAAATCATTTTTCATTTGAGCTCCGTACGGCGCCAGAACCCGACCCGTCCCTCGAGTGGTGGGCGCTAATGTAAAGCTGAGAGAGCCATCCATAACGGCAGAGTGCGTTACTACGGTAACATGCACAGGTGCCATTTATCACCGGCGCCGCGCGCCTATAGGCTCAAGGTCAGAGTGTGTCTGCGGTTAATTCTGATGACTTGGCTCTGAGCGTGAATGTGACGGAGAGCCGAGTCTCTACCTTTACGCTTCAAACCGCCTCACCAATTATTCACACGGCCACGCGACCTGTTTAAGCACCAAACCCCCCCAAAACGAGCGCGATCATAAACCGGCGAGCGCGTCCTTGGGCCGCGAGCGCCTCCTCGGGCCGCAAAAGTTCCACCCCGCTCCAGGTTCGGAGCCACTCTGGGCTGAATATTCATGGCCGTAATTAACAGAGCCGTCACTTCACTCCTTCAGGTCCCTCTTCAATAATTAACTCTCTGGAAAAGCTCCGCAGCATAACTTATATTTTCATAACTTATGTACGGCCCCTGTTCCAGCCTCATTACCGCTCTCCGAGGCCCAGAGTGAGCGCAGAGAACAGCCCCCGGCGCCGGGCTGGAGAACCGATACGCTGTTCCACCTGAAAATGAGCCGCAGACTCAGATGATGGAGCTTCGTCGTACAGGCGTTTCATCTACGGTAACCTGCAGACACAACTGACCTCAGAGTAAAACACTGACCGCTTTGTTCAGTGTGGAGCGATTCTACTGTTCTGTTCTACTGATTCTATTGTTTTGTGTAGTAATTTGCGATTAATCACATTCTTGTGCAGTTCGTTGCAATTAAGTACATTACTTGCACAGTTAATCATGATTAATCACATTACATTTGTGTAGTTCCTTGTGGTTAATCACATTCTTGTGCAGTTAGTTAATCTAGTTAATTAATCACATGATTTTGCTTAGTTGATCATGATTAATCACATTATGTGCAGTTATTTGTGAGTTAATCACATTCCTGTGTAGTCAATACTTATTAATCGCATTATTTTGCAGTTAATCATGATTAATTGCACTGTTTGTGTGGTTATTCATGATTAATCACATTGTTTAAAGTAGTTATTTGTGAATAATCACATTCTTGTGCAGTTAGTTGCAGTTAATCACGTTATTTAGCATAGCTAAGAGTAATTAATTGCACTTTATTTGTGTAGTTTTTTAAAATTTGGCCCTAAAGAAAAATGTTTTAATTGAAACCCTGTGTATTTTATTATAGTGATATGAGTCAGAATGTATTTATTACCTCCAATAATTCAGTAAAAGAGTCTTCATTGTGTGAAACATGAGTATGTCTGAATTGTAGTGCTATATAAATGTATGTATATACACACACAGCGGCCTGCAGGCTGAAAGAGCTGCGGCGTGTCAGGTGGCAGGTTCTCTGTGCAGCTGCAGATATGCAGATAAGGCGCCGTGTTTCCTCCGCAGGCTGAGTCAGTAATCCAGGGAAAGCCGTAAGGCGGTGATGTGAAACAGAGGCAGGTCTGATCTCCTGCAGGGCGACTGTAGAGCAGCTGTGCAGATGAACGGGACTGATAGCTGAGCAGAGATAAACGCCACGCTGCCTCAATCTCTGCTCTATTTAAACCCAGCCTGGCGCAGTCGAGTCTCACACTCGCAGAAAGCTCTGTGTTTATTTTCTTCCAGCTACACGATCGCTATCGTCATTCAGACACGCTCGGATATCATCAGACGCTCACATCTCCACCATAAACACAAACTTTATCTCTCTAATTACCCAGAAAGCCTCGTTCACACGCACTGCGGCTTTATCGGGGGTGGGAGTCGCTGCTGGAGCTGGATTCTGGAATAAAGAGCTTTATTCACAGCTTTTCAGCGCCGAGTCGAAAGTTCAGCATATAAAACACAGTTACTCCACATGCAGCTGATCAGACGAGGCACGACTGGTGCTTCTTTAGCTTTAGCACTGGAGCTACGAGGCTAATGTAGCTAATGGAAGCTAGTGGGCGCTAGTTAGCATCATACAAGATAATAATCAGCTGATGTTAAAGTCCACTCTAAATATTCCAGCTTATATGGTTTCTGAAAGAGAAAAGTGTGTACAGTACTCAGTGTTCCAGGTGGCTGCTACTGTGCTCAGCTATGTTAATGTGCTTTAGTCCATGTTTATAGATACAGTGAATCATACAGAGTCAGAACCCACATCAAGTCTATTAGAGATACTGAACATCTCCACACTCTGAGATGATTTACACATTAACTGACTACATTTGGGCTAAGAGGCAAAAATCTTTGCATAATTAAGTGTTTAAAATGTAAACAGAGAGGTTCAGAGAGGTTCAGAGTGGTTTGGTGTGAAACGCTCTGTTCTAGATAAACTGAGTCAGAACTGTTCACAGTGGTGGTGATAGGAACCAGACGTCCACCTCTAAAAGCTCCTCACAGAAAGTTCCTACAGTAAATGGTTATGAATTCACTGCCTGATGACTGAGACACTGTTTTATGATAGTTTAGAGAACTTAAACTCCATTCATGGTGGAGGGATACATGCAGGGCACTGTGAGGCAAAATAGTCCCCAAAGAAAACTTATTTCAGATTTTCCACTATTTTCCATCATCAACATTCCATATAAACTCAGAAGACTCATGTAGGTTCACTGGTGGTTCTGGATAGTAAATAAAATGTCTATATTTGTGTTGTAGTCATGGCGACCCCTGGTTCCTATCACCACCACTGTAAAGACATCTGAACCATTTCACACCAAACCGCTCTGAGTCACTCTGATTACACCTCACACACTGAATTATGGGGGAATTTAGAAGAAAAATGGTGGACTTCCCCTTTAAATGTCTCTATTGGAATGACAGCTGTAGCTGTAGCTTTATTGTCTCTATCTGCATTTCTTTCAGGTTGTCTTTGGTCGCTTAGTCTCATAAAATATTACAGAGTTCATTCAAAACGCAGATGATGTGAAGGATTGTGGGTAATTTTAATTAATTGGATAGAGTTGTTCAGACCACAGAAAACAAAAGACAGAAAGACCAAGTTTTTAATATAAAATGTTTATTTTCACTCTTTCATTACTGTCTGTATATAAGAGAGAGTAACAAAATCCAGATATGCAATCCATTGAGATTTTTTTGTTCGTTTGTTTGTTTTTCTTAAAGAAACGTCGTAAGGCATGTCTGCTAGCGCCCCCTACAAGCTGAAAGCAGCGTCCGCCACAAACCGTCCACCGCCGTACTCCCCTCATGGCTTCTACTGGTGTTCAAACGTAAACGCTGATAGATTCACGAACAGCCGTAAAGAATCTGAATGGAAATCATGTTCAAAGTGCAACGTGAAAAATAAAATCATCGCAAGAAAAAGAAACAAAGAAGCAGGATTTTCATACAAGAGCAATAATTATTTTCTGTATAATCTCATCTCTGTTTATGTTGATTTCAGTAACCCATGAGCGCCTTAAATCAAAATGAAATGTGATTACATTCAGACAGAGTGACCGCGGTCAGCTAGCGGTCGAAAACACATGAGAATAAAGCAGAGGCGAGATTTAAAACGATAGCTTGACAAAAAAATCTAGTTGAGCTGAGACAAGCTTGCTTCTTCAGTCATAGCACTGCAGCTACGAGGCTAATGTAGCTAACAAGTAATCAGCCAGTACCTTAGCAATTAGCGATTAGCTGTTAATCGATTAGCTGTTCGTCTATAGACTTGATTGTGTGGTGTTTTTCACTGTATGATGCACTGTTATCCATAAACATGGGCTAAAGTACATTAGCATAGCTAAACACAGCTTCTTTCAGGCCGTACTGTGTTCATTTCACGCAATGCTAATTAGTTTGTCTGAATGTTAGCTTCCACTGCTTTTTAGCTACATTAGCTTTATAGGCACAACTAAAGAAGTAATTATGTGAAATAATCTCAAAAAGATTTGCATATGTAGTGACACCTATGGACCAAAGTGCATTAGCATTTGTCCAGTTTTTACAAGGCTAACTAACTGGATGGCCTTTGGCTTCCATTATGTCTGCTACTCATAGTAGTGCTAAACTAAAGAGGTTTGTTTGTTCAGTATCTCTAATAGTCTTGATGATGTGGTTTCTGACACTGTATGATTCACTGTACCTATAAACATGGACATTAGCATAGCTAATCACAGTAGCAGCCACCTGGAACACTGAGTTTTGTGTGTTTGTCCATTTTGTGCAAAGCTAATTAGTTTGTTTGATGCTAGCTGATTGACTGTTAGCTTCCATTACTTGTTAGCTTCAGTAGCTTTGTAGCAGTGCGAAACTAAAAAGAAGGGAGTTTTAGGCTAATGCTAATGCTAAATCTAGCCTCGTAGCTCCAGCGCTGAAAATAAAGAAGCAAACTTCACATGAAACGTCTCGGCTCAATCAAGGGTGTGAAAATGATGTAGATTTGATTTCTTTAACCAGACGATCCTCTCACGCCAGAACGAGCGTGGCGACGTCTCTGTTTTGAAGATGATCAGAACAGTGAAGAGCCCTTTTAGAGCCACGTGGCTCCAGCTATCCAACATTTTTAACAGACTTCTTTATCTCTCCTTCGTCTTATCTGCGTCTGTTTCTCTCCACTGAAAATACTCCTGGCTCTCCATCTGAAGAGCCTTTACTATTTCACTCCCTCTCTCTCTTTCTCTGTGTCTCTGATACTCTCTCGCCCGCCCTGATTTTCTCCTTTCCAGATTCTTATCTGTCTTTAACTCTCGGTGGGAGAATTGGTGGGGGTTGAGATAAGGGGGATTTCCCAGATTCCGCACTGTATTCCAGCTAGTCCATCCTAACACACTGGGGATCCTGATACAGCACTTTTACGCCAAATCTGAATTCTTTTATACTGTAAAATTCAATTCTAATGACGAACAGTAGAGATTTGTTGACATAGCGTTGAGTTTCCATTGAAAATAATGCACTGCTGAGCTGGACTGTGTTGTTAAAGCTAATCAAACTAGCCTGGAAACAACAACTACTTAGCCAACATTAGTGCTGTATCGATACTCTCCAGCTTTGATACGATACATTGAAAAGTATTTATTTTTGATATTGTGGAAAGAAGGGACGTCCAGTAACTGCCAGCCTTATACTGTTACCTGAAACAACAGCCGACCCAGAGTTCTGCTCCCTGATCTGAGCCCAAAGGGGCCTGAGGAACTATCGGGTTTTGGGCCAGGTTCAGGCCAACTTTTCACATACAACATCAAACTAGGCGAGGAGTGATACAGGTTGGGCTCAGGTTTGAAAATTAGCAGTACTAGTTGGGCCTGGTCGATTCAGGTCGGTTCAGGTCAGGTCTTGTCAAGTCGTGTGTACCAGCCGGGTTCAGGTCAATTTTGGGTTTAAAGTTTAGCATTACCACATAGGTCAGGTCTCAAAGTACCGTGCTGGCTTTGGGCTCCATATTTATCGCTACCAGTCAAGCTCCAGTCTCAAAGTCGTGGCTTTGGGTTGGGTCCAGCTTGGGTCTTAAATTTAGCAGTACCAATCAGACCAATCCCAAAATCCCATGGGTATGGGTTGGTTTTAGGTCGGGTTCAGGTTTCAGATTTATCAGTACCAATCGGGCCTGGTCATGTTGCGTCCCAAAGTTGCAGGAACGGGTCAGGATTGGGTTTCAAGTCTAGCAGTACCGGTCAGGCCTTGTAAGGACAAGTCTCAGAGTCGCAGGTATGGGTCGGGCCCAGGTTGGGTCTCAAATTTAGCTGCACCAGTTGGATCTGGTTGGGCCTCAGTGATACAGGTATGAGTTAGCTTCAGGTTTTTAGATTTATCAGTACCAGTCGGGCTGGTCAGGTCGGGTCTCAGTAGAGTAACTGGATCAGGTCTGGTTTGGGTTCCAAATTCAGTCATGACCTTTTAATTCTATCTGATTCGTGATATGATTTGGAGAGTATTGATACAGTGGCAAATCAGTATTGGAATCATTTCAAATTTTCACAACCGTTATGTATCGATATATTCATCTTTTTGATGACACTAGCCACCACGCTAATGTTAGCTTGATTGCCATGACCAAAAATCGCAGCCTGATGTGCTAATTAGCTCTGATATTGACATTTCCCTCTTAAACTGTTTCCTGTTGTGTGTTAGCAGGTACTTTCTGTACTTTCTGAAACTAACCTTTACAAACTAAATAAAACTTTAGAGAATTATTTCTTTCAGTGGAGGAGAAAACAGTTTGGATGCAAAGTTAAACTCAGTGTGAAATGGGAAATGGGGTAAACGGGAGCTCTTTCAAGGTGGAAATCAAAGCTAGCATTTAGCTTTTAGCGCTTCTTCCTGGTTCTTACTCTTCTAGGTGGTGAATCTGGGCTAAAATCATGTTGTACAGAATATACTGAGCAGAAAAACATCCCACTTCATAACTACAGATAAAAACAGACCTTCTCAGATTCATTCAGCATCATTTAAAAGTGCTTAAACATTCAATAACTCACACAGAGCGACGATGGCAATCAGGCTGTGAACGACTACAAAACAAATCAGCAGAAACTGGTGCTGAAACCTGGCTAAAGTCGTGCAGTGAGGGTTAAATACTGTGCTCGTGTAGTTGATCGCGGTCAGATTCAGGCGATGCATACAAAAAAAATCTGCCTTGAAGACAGAAGCACCTTAAAAGCTGAGCTGAAGCTTCTTAAAGTGATAATTCAGTGATAAAATCACATTTTCAGTCTTCCTCTCACCAAACGCAGCCGATCAGCCTGGACATGTTAGCCTGGAGCAAGTTAGCATCAGCAGTTAGCATGGAGCGAACGGCACAATCAAATTATCAACAGTGCCGAGCTGTTAGCGCTAATGTCGCTAATGTCACAATGAAATAAACAGCTGCAAATTAGCATTGAGCAAAAAAGTGTCATGCTAATTGGCAGCTAGTGGATTCCATTTGTTGTTAGCTGTGTTAGCACGTAGCTGTTTTTGTTAAAGAGTGGCCAAAATTAAAACTCTACGCTGCAGTTTCACCACAGACGGTTCAGTCCAGCTCACTGTCACAGGTTTAGCTAATAAAGCCTCAAATCCGTGTGTGGAGCTGCTAGCTTAAGCTACTCTTGCCCCACTTGTGTTAGCTTAGCGAGAAGATCTATAGCTACGCACTTCCACACAGGTTCATTCATTCAGCTCACACAACTTCACCGACACGCGTTTAGAGAACACAGACTGTATCTGAGCGAGTGAACCTGTCTGTGTGTAGCTGTTAGCTTAAGCTGCTCCATGGTTGCTGAGCGAGTGAACCTGTTTGTGTTTGTTAGCTTTGGCTATTTTGAACTCACATCCTCTTTAGCGCCTCTGTAGAGGCGATGTTAGCTTAGCAGGAAGGCTCTCTAACTCTTTAGTGTCCACGATTGTGGAACGAGCCGCCCACGTCTCTCAGGAACCTCTTATTAAAGAGAATCTTAAGACTTTCAGTTTAGACGTGTTTTCAAGAATTAATGTAGTTTTAAGAAAAATCTTAAGAATTTTCCTTTTAAATGTGATTTATGGATTTTGTTTTAAGAAATTCTGGATCTTTTTAAGTCAAATCTTAATTATTATTATTATTATTATTATTATTATTAAGGTTAACATCGCGAGCTTATTTTTGTTACTACTCTGGGTAGAGGGGAGGAAAGGGGTGGGGTTTAGAAACGGGGCAGCAGTGGAGTGTCTACAATTTACATAATCATGCATATTCATAGTTATTTGCATAGTTAATGAGTGTTGGGGTTTAGAGTCGCTCTTGCATTTTGCTCTATTTATTATTTTATTTTATATATTATTGTTCAACATAGTTTTTTTTTTTTTAGCGTTTAATGAATGTTTAATGAATGTGTGACTTCAGGGCCGTCTGTCCGTCCGTCTGTCTGTCCGTTCGTAAACATGGACTAAACTCACGGTCTGAGAAGCTGTTAGCTATGCTAACGCACTCCTGCTAGCATTTGTTCCACTTGTTAGGGACATTAGCGTCCAGAGCAGAACCCCAGGAGCAGCTCAGCTCCGTGGGGGGAGGAGAAACTGTGAATGTGATTTTTTTGTGATATATTATTCTGTTCATTCCTGCTGAGAGTGGACGCGGCCGCGACCTTTGACCCGCGTGGCTGATTAAGCTGCTGATACGGACGAGGTCGCGGGCTGTTCTGCTTTTTGCTGCACTGTGACTTCGTCCACATGCGCAAGCACAAACTTCTGCAGACTCGAGCAGCTCGGGGGAAAAGTGCTGAACGTTCCAGAAGGCCTGGCGTGACCCTCTCGCGTGATTGGCTCTCTCCTTCGGCCGTCCACACTTCAGCTGACCGTGACTCTCTCATACTGACATTTAATTCAGTCTCAGAAACAGGAAATAAAACGCACGAGCAGGAAATAAATTAGCGTCTGCTCTGACGAGAGCAGTAAAACGCCACTCTTCTCTTTTTATCTCTTTATATTTGAGCTCGACTTCTGTCTCAGGTAAAATCCGCTAAAGCCAAAATATAGAATTATATTAGAAATATAAATAAATCCTCTGCCTTTATAAGAAAACAGAACATCTGATAGGTAAAATCTCTGCCTTTAGACTGTGGATGTGGATATTAGTGGGAAAGGAAACCCGCAAAAATGTCAGTTATATTAAAAAATAATAATAACAATAATAAAGGAAAGAAAAGGAGAAGAACAGAAAAGCTCCAGTGAGTTTTACACAAACCGTATGACTTCATGCATTCACAGTGGCACAGAAGCGAATTTGATTTGTACTTTTCTCTCTTTTTTAATCTTTTTTTGCCTTTCCCTTCCACGTCTGTGGGTTTTCATCTCCGGCGTCGGGTCTGGAAGAGGCGGAAAACACAGGAAACATCAGACTGTTTTTATTTTTTCGTTAAGGTTCTCATCTCACGCGGTATAAAAAACAAAAATAGATTCTTCTTCATCTCTTTTGTCGTTGTTGTTGTTGTTTTCAGGTATTTTGTTGAAAGGGCTTTTTCGAGGAACGTGCTGCTGACATTCTCCACCCCTCCGACTCCGCAGAGGGACGTTTTTTCCTCGTTTTTTCGTCAGCTAACGAGAGAAAAGCCGTCGTTTTTTGGAGGATGAAGCTGCATCTTTGGAACAAGCGGGATGCAGAGGTTTGGATGCTCTCTCTCTCTCTCTCTCTCTCTCTCTCCTTCAGGTTTTAATCCCCAGGGTTTTATCCGTAGAAAGCCTCGCCCCTTTGCCCCAGGGCGGGCGGGGCTAATCAGCGTGGGAGGAGCTGCGCTGTGTCCTAATAAAGTCTGCTGTGTTTTTTGGCCACGCCCCTCCATGCGCCCCATTATCTCCACTGCATCAGCACCAGCAGGCCCGCCCCCGCTATCGCCGCCACCAGCCAGGGCGGAGGCGGGGCGTTGCCGTGGTGACCGGCCGTGTCCGCGGCCGGCTGGGGGTCGCTCCGGTCCGCCTCCACCACCGGCGCCTCCGTGGGGACGAAGTCGAACTCGGTGGTGCAGCCTTCGGTGCAGCCGCTGCCGCTGCCGGACCCGCTGCCTTCATCACCTGCAACAGACACGCCGTGGTTAGTGGAGCTAACTGTGCTAATAGCGTTAGCTGTAGTTTGCTATAGTTAGCCAGCCATTTACAAAGTGAACATTCTGAGAACATCAACACACAATTTTAGCGTCTATTCTGGGGATTTAATAGTGTTCTTATTTTAAAACACGCTAACCATGTTAGCATCAGTGACCCAGCTAGCTAACGCTACCTTAGCAGCTCTGCATCTTAAAGACAACCATCAACACACTGTTCTAGCGTTCACTCTGTTACCTTTAGTAGTGGAGATCAATTTAGTGATGTCGACTGAATGTGATCACAGGTCGTTCTGGTGTCCAGACTGCTGCACTTATTGATTATGTAGTGCTTAATCACTGAAGAAGCATGCTATTAGCATTAGCATTAGCAGCCTAACCTAGCTAACATTACCATAGTGAACTCTTGAATGTCTTTGAACAACAATCTGCACATCACCACACCGTGCTGGTGTCCGCTCTGGTGCAGTGTGAGGTAACGCAGTTTGATGATTTTAAAACATGCTGATAATGCTAGCTTTAAAAACCGAGCTAGCTAACGTTATCTTAGCAGCTTTTCCCAAGTGTTTATTTTAATCCTTCTTCAAGGTGACGTAATAATGCTTGGCAGCTTTCTCCTCACCTGGCAGAGTGAATAATTCACTAAGCCGAGTTTCTGTAAGCCTTTTTAATAAGATTAGCTTCAACTGTTAGCAAAGCCAGAGGAGAATGTTCATCTCTGGCCTCGTGAGGGTTTAGAAATCAGGAGCTGATGTTATTGAGGAAGCGCTAGACTTACAGGTGAGGACTGAGTTATAGTTATATTTTAGGGGTGTTTCCAGGTCTTGATTTAGCCTGGCGTCTCTGGGTTCTTGTGCTTGATTGGCGGGTTCTGGAGTGTATGAAGGTAAATAAGTGTTTATGATGACTTTAGCACAGTGCAGATTGTTCATGAAGCTGATATTGTCAGTTATCACTCACGTCTGTTGTTTCATTGCTTTAGTATTTTTATACACAGATACAGATAAACAGACACAAATACGATGATCTCCACGTTAACCAGCGCTGGAGCTTCCATTACAGTAAAACCTGGACTGTCGTTTAATTCAGTCTGTTTGTTAGCAGTGGATCGTTTATTGGGGTGGAAGAGCTAAATGAAGCTAACAGCTTCAGGCATCATCGGACGCTTTTAGACACCGTCAGACTCCCGTGGTCCCGTTTGAGGACTGAGGTGAACAACTGCCCCAGTTTGAGTAAATGATGAAAACCTCTTTATCTTCCTCCAGGAAGATTTCATCTGTCCACTTCAAAGAGGAGCTGATTAAAGCCAAACTGCAGGAAACGCTTCAGCGTTACTCATTTCTGATCACCACCCACTGCAGCACCCAAAGAAAGCGCTGGGAAGCTTCGGCTTGGACGCGGATTAAAGGATTTTCTACGTAGAATCTCCGTCGACGGCGTAATTAAACCCCCTCCGCTCAGCTCTTCCTCCTGAATCTGCAGAACTTCCTCTACGTGCCTCAGGATTCGGTTTATTAATGCTGTCCTGAGTTTATTTTCATTTCTGTTATCAAACCGTTCTGTAAAGCTGCACTGGCTCTCTGGCTGTACGTGACTCGATGGAGAACTTCGCCTCTGTAAAATGAGGACGTGAACGTCACTGAAGTCCTTCAGTGCATCGGCCACACGTCTGAAATGTTTCAGGACATACAGCATTTCTGGATTCCTTTATTTGTGTTCTTTAACTTAACACTTTGTGTAAAATATTTTGATCGAATTTTGACCACAAATTCCATTTCGCTGTTTGTTCTGGTGTCGCTTTAGATGCTGATAATTGCTGAATATTTGTTTGAAACATGCAAACTCTGCTAGCTAACAGAACTAGGTTAGCTGGCTAAGTAGCGATTAGATAAACAGGTTTGGGCTGTTTTTAGTCTCACATTATTGATGATTCACTTTCATACTCGCACACTACAGCACTCTTATCGTGGACATTAGGGATGTCAACTTTAGCTCAACAAGCTAGTTTAGCATTGGGGCGACAACATCAAGTTCTTTATGGCAACAACTAATGCTAAAGGTGGTTAGCTAAATAAAGCTGTGCTCCAATTCCGATTGTGTTACAGCGGCGCATCTAGGCTGTCCCATTTCGAAGGCTCCTTCATATGTGGCCGAGAACTGGGTGTAGTGTGTTCCTGGCGTAACTTAACGATGGAATCCAGTAAGGTATAAACACGGAAATGGGTGTAGTGTAACCATGGAAGCAGATGTAGCTTAAGAATGGAACTGGGTAACAATGGAAACAGGTGTAGTGTAGCCATGGAAATGAGTTTAGCTATTTCACCAAAATTGGTGTGGCATAACCATGACAACGGGTATACCGTAATCACGGAATTTAGTGCAGCATAAGCATGGAAACGGGCATAAAGTAACCATGGAAACAGGTATAGTGTAACCATGGAAATAGTGTGGTGTAATTATGACGACAGGTGCAGCATAACTACAGAAATGAGCATAGCGTAACTAGAAACAGGTACAGAGTAACCATGGAAATGAGAGTAACGCAAGCATGGAAACAGAAGCAACTTATTCAAAGAAACAGGTGTAACCACGGTAATGGTTATGGTGCAGCCATGGAAACGGGTTGTCTATTACAGAACTTTGTATAATCTGGTGTGAGACTCACTGGAGTCCTGGAAGTAGATGTCGTTTCCATTGTAGGCATTGCGCAGCTTGTTGGTCATCACCCTCAGGGCCATGATCTGCTGCCTGATGAAAGTGTCCGGCCTCGTAATATCCACTTCAACTTCAGGGTTGTTCAGCTGGTTGGTCAAACCATCTTTCACCACCTCCGGGAAGTATCTGCAGAGAAGAGAGAGAGAGAGAGAGAGAGAGAAAGAGAGAGACAGACAGACAACAACCTTTAAACTTCCTCACCATCACAGCAGCTCTGAGAACCTCCTGAATAATTCATACCTTCACTCTGAACATACAAACACACGCATCTACAGAGCCGCTCTTCCTTCAGCAGATGGCATGAAGGTCAGATAAACCATCATAATCCATCAGACAAGCACAGTAAGGTGGAGAACATCTATTCCTCTGTTCATACATCTCATCCCACCTGCCTCACGCTCAACACCGCGCTCAGTGCAGAGGTGGAATGTGTAGTGTACTGCGTGTAGTTTACTGTGTGTAGTTTACTGTGTGTAGAGTACGATGTGTAGTGTACTATGTGTAGGGTACTGTGTAGTGTACTGTGTAGTGTACTGTGTGTAGAGTACTATGTGTAGTGTACTGTGTAGTGTACTGTGTGTAGAGTACTATGTGTAGTGTACTGCGTGTAGTGCACTGTGTGGTGTATTGCGTGTAGAGTACTGTGTGTAGTTTACTGTGTGTAGAGTACGATGTGTAGTGTACTATGTGTAGGGTACTGTGTAGTGTACTGTGTAGTGTACTGTGTGTAGAGTACTATGTGTAGTGTACTGTGTAGTGTACTGTGTGTAGAGTACTATGTGTAGTGTACTGCGTGTAGTGCACTGTGTGGTGTATTGCGTGTAGAGTACTGTGTGTAGAGTACTATGTGTAGTGTACTATGTGTAGAATACTGTGTGTAGAGTACTGCGTGTAGTGTACTATGTGTAGAATACTGTGTGTAGAGTACTATGTGTAGTGTACTGTGTGTAGAGTACTATGTGTAGTGTACTATGTGTAGAATACTGTGTGTAGAGTACTATGTGTAGTGTACTGTGTGTAGTGTATTGCGTTTATAGTACTGTGTGTAGAGTACTATTTGTAGTGTACTGCGTGTAGTGTACTGCGTGTAGTGCACTGCGTGTAGTGTACTGCGTGTAGTGCACTACGTGTAGTGTACTGCGTGTAGAGTACTGCGTGTAGTGTACTGCATGTAGTGTATTGCGTGTAGAGTACTGTGTGTAGAGTACTGCCAGTAGTGTACAGCATGTAGTGTATTACGTGTAGTGTACTGTGTGTAGAGTCCTGTGTGTAGAGTCCTGTGTGTAGTGTACTGTGTGTAGTGTACTGTGTGTAGTGTACTGTTTGTATAGTTCTGTGTAGTTTACTGTGTAGTGTACTGTGTGTAGAGTCCTGTGTGTAGAGTCCTGTGTGTAGAGTCCTGTGTGTAGAGTCCTGTGTGTAGTGTACTGTGTGTAGTGTACTGTTTGTATAGTTCTGTGTAGTTTACTGTGTAGTGTACTGTGTGTAGTGTATTGTGTGTAGTGTACTGTGTGTAGTGTATTGTGTGGACTGTTTTTATTGCGCAGTGTAGTATATATTGTGTGTAGTGTGCCAAGTGTAATGCATATTGTTTAGTGTACAGTGTGTATATATATTTATCATGGCATATGTTTTGCCATATGGTCCACACATTAATACCATTGTGATTATTTAATACACCAGTGTGATGTGATTATTCAGGCTGGTTGTTGTATATGTAGTTATATGTCAGTGTGATTATTCAGGCTGGTTGTTGTATATGTTGTTATATATCAATGTGATTATTCAGGCTGGTTGACGTATATGTTGTTATATATCAGTGTGATTATTCAGGCTGGTTTATGTATATATTGTTTTATATCAGTGTGATTATTCAGGCTGGTTTACGTATATGTTGTTATATATCAGTGTGATTCTTCAGGCTGGTTTACGTATATGTTGTTATATATCAGTGTGATTCTTCAGGCTGGTTTATGTATATGTTGTTATATATCAGTGTGATTCTTCAGGCTGGTTTATGTATATATAGTTATCTATCAGTGTGATTCTTCAGACTGGTTGATGTATATATTGTTATATATCAGTGTGATTCTTCAGACTGGTTGATGTATATATTGTTATATATCAGTGTGATTCTTCAGGCTGGTTTATGTATATGTTGTTATATATCAGTGTGCTTATTCAGGCTGGTTTATGTATATATAGTTATCTATCAGTGTGATTCTTCAGGCTGGTTTATGTATATATAGTTATATATCAGTGTGATTCTTCAGGCTGGTTTATGTATATATAGTTATATATCAGTGTGATTCTTCAGACTGGTTGATGTATATATTGTTATATATCAGTGTGATTCTTCAGGCTGGTTTATGTATATGTTGTTATATATCAGTGTGATTATTCAGGCTGGTTTATGTATATGTTGTTATATATCAGTGTGATTATTCAGGCTGGTTTATGTATATGTTGTTATATATCAGTGTGATTCTTCAGGCTGGTTTATGTATATGGTAGTGAACACATTCATTGTATTTGGGTTGGGTAATTTCATATATTGTTCTATTTTGTTATAAACAGGCTGGTGTGATGAATATTGCTTTTCTCAGCATGGTGCTGGATCTGTTATTGTTTCTGTTCTGAAGTTTAAGTGGCTGGTACGCTGGCGCTGTGTCAGAAATGAAAACAGTGATATGAGTTTGTGTCTGAGTCATGGTGAAATAATAAACGCCTGAGCGTGTATGGAGTCGAGCCAGTCCGCTGAAAGCGCCTCTTCGTTTGTATGTTTTGTAATGATGCTGCTATCTTAATTACGGTTTAAAAAGCGGCCGATTGTTTGTGCATGATTGCTATTCTAGGTGGAGCTGTTTGTGATAAATGGCTGGAATGTGTGGAGGGCTCTTTGAGTTTCTGGGTATCGCGCGAGCGTCTCTTTTCGAGCCGCTGTGTAATTAGCCAATAATGAGAATATTCCACCGAGAGCACATCTCACACAGCAGATCAGAGCAAAACAAAGCTCGACCTAAATTTGTCCTCCTCTAAATCTTAACTCGCGCTGTAATTAGACTGAACGCAGGGGAGTTTAGAGCGGAGAAACACTCTTCACGCTCCCTGCTACGCTGCGCTAGCTGCTGTTTAGCTGGATGCTAATTTTCATTACCATACTGCTGTGGGGAAAACTCCACAGTTATTTCACCATCTGCTATGAAAATGATTTCCAAGACAAAACAAATGAGACAAGAGTGATTAGCATGATTAGCACTGTTTACATGGCAGCCTGTTACATCACATTCAGGGGCAAATTTAACACCGAGCTGCCGGAGATCTCAGAGGAAGTGTCGTCATTTTAGGAACTGTAAGGGTCTTCAAACCTGTTCTCAGATGGTCAAGGTTTTGGTTCCAACCTCACAGTGCACAAGGATGGAGCAGGAGTGCAGATCATCTGGGGGCTCTGAGGACCCGTCTGATTTATCTCTTTGGGAAAAATTAGGTGTTTTTGAAAATCCGCTATCTCACCTTGTGCTAAACCGGCTTCTTCCAAAGCTGATACGTTTCGTCCTACATACGTTTTCCCTCAAACGTCGCTGGATCCTCAGAGTTTAAATATGCACATTGCTGCATCCATGCTATGAGTAAGCTAACACCATGGTGCAAAATACAGGGGGCACTGGGGGTCCAGGACCCCTTAATTAATCTCCTGAGCCCCCTGAATGTCTCAAAATCTAAATTCTGGGGCTCTGAAAAAAACTTTATGATGTTATGCTGACTGTTGCTCAAATCCAGATTCAGTGAAGCTGATTGTTTATCTGCTTTCCCCACAATCAGCTTCTGTCTCTGGTGTTCTTAACTAACTAGAGCTGCAGCACTGCTCTGCCTCAGGGTGGCGCTGTAGCAGGCTGGTTCACCCAGTTGGTCCTTCATAGCCTAGAAACTGTAACTCTGCCTGGATTCTTCTGAAAAACTTTACAATGAGCTGCAGCAGATCTGTAAATCTGAAAACTCGCCCAGTTTCCCAAGAGTTTGGAGTGAAGAGTGACTGTTCCTCATTTCTCACACTGAAGACAGAAGAGGAGACGAGGAAGATCTCAGTTACTGTGAGGAAGAGCGCAGAACCGCACTAGAACAGAGACTCTACAGAAGAGGAGACGAGGAAGATCTCAGTTACTGTGAGGAAGAGCGCAGAACCGCACTAGAACAGAGACTCTACAGAAGAGGAGACGAGGAAGATCTCAGTTACTGTGAGGAAGAGCGCAGAACCGCACTAGAACAGAGACTCTACAGAAGAGGAGACGAGGAAGATCTCAGTTACTGTGAGGAAGAGCGCAGAACCGCACTAGAACAGAGACTCTACAGAAGAGGAGACGAGGAAGATCTCAGTTAATGAGAGGAAGAGCGCAGAACCGCACTAGAACAGAGACTCTACAGAAGAGGAGACGAGGAAGATCTCAGTTACTGTGAGGAAGAGCGCAGAACCGCACTAGAACAGAGACTCTACAGAAGAGGAGACGAGGAAGAGCGCAGAACCGCACTAGAACAGAGACTCTACAGAAGAGGAGACGAGGAAGATCTCAGTTACTGTGAGGAAGAGCGCAGAACCGCACTAGAACAGAGACTCTACAGAAGGAGAATTGTTTTGTCACCAGTGAAGCATCAGCGCCGAGTTAGCAGCCAACGTTGGAGAAGCCAGGGGGACCCCCGAATACCAGGGGGTTTTTCACACACTGACTAACAGTGACAGTAAAGCCGGCAGCGAACTTCAAACAACTAAACAGCTAATCAAACTTCTGCTGATTACACTGTACAAAAACTACACTGCTGTGACTGAGAGCTGGAAAAACACTATCGTCACAGAAGAGAGAGAGAGAGAGAGAGAGAGAGACAGACAGAGACAGATGGAGAGAGACAGAATTTAAAAGAGAGAAAGATGGATGAGAGAGAGATGAATGGAGATGGGGCGATACAATGAAAGATTGAGAGAGTGGAGAGATAACGAGAGATAGAGGAGGAAGATGGAGAGAGAGAGATATATAATAGAGATAAAGAGAGAAATGGAGAGAGATGGAATGGGAGAAGAATGGAAAAAAAAAGAAAGATGAAAGAGCAACAGAGAAATCGAAAGATTTTTTCTCTTTGTCCCCTTGTCTTTTTTCTCTATAAATATATATACACACTCTCTCTCTCTCTCTCCATAAATATATATACACTCTCTCAACGTCCTGCAGGTTAGTGAGTACGGAGCGTGAATAGTGAGTGTGCAGGTTAGTGAGTTTTGAGTGTGCAGGTTTATAAGAAGTGAGCGTGCAGGTTAGTGAGTAGTGAACATGAGTAGTGAGCATGCAGGTTTGTGAATAGTGAGCATGTGTAGTGAGCATGCAGGTTAGTGAGCATGCAGGTTTGTGAATAGTGAGCATGTGTAGTGAGCATGCAGGTTTGTGAATAGTGAGCATGCAGGTTTGTGAGTAGTGAGCATGTGTAGTGAGCATGCAGGTTAGTGAGCATGCAGGTTTGTGAATAGTGAGCGTGCAGGTTTGTGAGTAGTGAGCATGTGTAGTGAGCATGCAGGTTAGTGAGCATGCAGGTTTGTGAATAGTGAGCGTGCAGGTTTGTGAGTAGTGAGCATGCAAGTTTGTGAGTAGTGAGCATGCAGGTTTGTGAGTAGTGAGCGTGCAGGTTTGTGAGCATGCAGGTTTGTGAATAGTGAGCGTGCAGGTTTGTGAATAGTGAGCGTGCAGGTTTGTGAGTAGTGAGCATGCAAGTTTGTGAGTAGTGAGCATGCAGGTTAGTGAGCATGCAGGTTTGTGAATAGTGAGCGTGCAGGTTTGTGAGTAGTGAGCATGCAAGTTTGTGAGTAGTGAGCATGCAGGTTTGTGAGTAGTGAGCGTGCAGGTTTGTGAGCATGCAGGTTTGTGAGTAGTGAGCGTGCAGGTTTGTGAGTAGTGAGCATGCAGGTTTGTGAGTAGTGAGCATGCAGGTTTGTGAGTAGTGGGCATGCAGGTTTGTGAGTAGTGAGGATGCAGGTTTGTGAGTAGTGAGCACGTGTAGTGAGCATGCAGGTTAGTGAGCATTCAGGTTTGTCAGTAGTGAGTGTGAGTAGTGAGGGTGCAGGTTAGTGAGTTGTGAGTGTGCAGGTTTGTGAGTAGTGAGCGTGCAGGTTAGTTAGTAGTGAGCGTGAATAGTGAGGGTGCAGGTTAGTGAGCAGTGAGCAGGAGTAGTGAGAGTGAATAGTGAGCGTAAATAGTGGGCATGCAGGTTAGTGAGTAGTGAGCATGCAGGTTAGTTAGTAGTGAGCGTGATTAGTGAGGGTGCAGGTTAGTGAGCATGCAGGTTTTAACTAGTGAGCATGCAGGTTTGTAACTAGTGAGCATGCAGGTGTGTGAGTAGTGAGGGTGCAGGTTAGTGAGTAGTGAGTGTGCGGGTTTGTGAGTAGTGAGCATGCAGGTTAGTTAGTAGTGAGCGTGAATAGTGAGGGTGCAGGCTAGTGAGTAGTGAGCAGGAGTAGTGAGAGTGAATAGTGAGCGTAAATAGTGGGCATGCAGGTTAGTGAGTAGTGAGTGTGAGGAGTGAGTGTGCAGGTTAGTGAGTTGTGAGCGTGCAGGTTAGTGAGTAGTGAGCGGGAGTAGTGAAAGTGAATAGTGAGCGTGCAGGTTAGTGAGTAGTGAGCGTGAGTTGTGAGCGTGCAGGTTAGTGAGTAGTGAGCGGGAGTAGTGAAAGTGAATAGTGAGCGTGCAGGTTTGTGAGTAGTGAGCGTGAGTTGTGAGCGTGCAGGTTAGTGAGTAGTGAGCAGGAGTAGTGAGAGTGAATAGTGAGCGTAAATAGTGGGCGTGCAGGTTAGTGAGTAGTGAGTGTGAGGAGTGAGTGTGCAGGTTAGTGAGTTGTGAGCGTGCAGGTTAGTGAGTAGTGAGCGGGAGTAGTGAAAGTGAATAGTGAGCGTGCAGGTTAGTGAGTAGTGAGAGTGAATAGTGAGCATGAGTAGTGTGTGCAGGTTAGTGAGTAGTGAGCATGCAGGTTAGTGAGTAGTGAGTGTGCAGGTTTATGATTAGTGAGCATGAGTAGTGAGTATGCAGGTTAGTGAGTAGTGAGAGTGAATAGTGAGCGTGAGTAGTGTGTGCAGGTTAGTGAGTAGTGAGCATGCAGGTTAGTGAGTAGTGAGTGTGCAAGTTTATGATTAGTGAGCATGAGTAGTGAGTATGCAGGTTAGTGAGTAGTGAGAGTGAATAGTGAGCGTGAGTAGTGTGTGCAGGTTTATGATTAGTGAGCATGCAGGTTAGCAAGTAGTGAGTATGCAGGTTAGTGAGTATTGAGTGTGAGTAGTGAGCGTGCAGTTTAGGGAGTGTGAGTAGTGAGAGTGCAGGTTAGTGAGTAATGAGTGTGAGTAGTGAGTGTGCAGGTTAGTGAGTAGTGAGCATGAGCGTGTTGTATTGCAGATGTGAGTGAGTAGTGAGCGTGAGTAGTGAGCGTGTTGTAGATGTGAGTGAGTTGTGCACTCTTCTCACAGTGCAGAGATAAGCCTGATCACTCTCACTCAGCTCCACAGTTAAACTCTTATCTGGATTAGAGGAATTCTCATCATTTAAAACCTCAGACTACACACATCAGCTTAACCACAGAGAGAGAGAGAGAGAGAGACAGAGAGAGAGAGAGAGAGAGAGAGAGAGAGACAGAGAGAGAGAGAGAGAGACAGACAGAGAGAGAGAGAGAGAGAGACAGACAGAGAGAGAGAGAGAGAGAGAGAGAGAGACAGACAGAGAAAGAGAGAGAGAGAGAGAGAGACAGACAGAGAAAGAGAGAGAGAGAGAGAGACAGACAGAGAAAGAGAGAGAGACAGACAGAGAGAGAGAGAGAGAGAGAGAGCCCTTCACTTCCTCAGTGTGGATTACAGTAAACCCTACATCTCTAAATTCACCACTTTAAACTCAAACGCTGCAGCTGCTCACGCGCTTCATCGTTCCCTTTATTAAACCACACTACTATAAAATAATAATACCACACAGCCGTTCACCATTTACCACCTGCCGTATTAATAACCGTTACCATTTATACCGTAATTACAGACACAGAGGTTTCTTTTAATTTACAGTTCATATTATTTTACAGAATAAAATGGAAATGACTGTATCACAACCATGAAAATGGGTTTAGAAATTACGTAACCATGGAAATGTGTAGATGGAAACGTCGCTTAAAATGGAAATGACTATCAGAACAGTGGTAAAGTGTTAACTATAGAGATAGGTGTATAGAAATGGTTGCAGACGTAGTGTAACCATGGAAATGAGTGTAGACGTAGCGTAACCATAGAAATGAGTGTAGATGCAGTGTAACCATGGAAATGAGTGTAGACGTAGCGTAACCATGGAAATGGTTGTAGCATTAAAGGGAAATCAGGTTATTGTAACCATGGAAAAGGGTGTGATAGTGGAAATCTGTATAGTGTAACCATCATAATGGGTGTGGCGTAACCATGGAAATGGAAGCCCAGTCGTAGAATCACCCATTTGCTCTTAACATCACGTTAAATCCGGTGACACGTTTTATGAACCTGGCCTAATTTGTGTTAAGGATGAAGAGCAAAGCCTTGCCTTCCTTTAGTGTGACTGTTCCAGCACTGTTCCTCGTCCTCGCTCGCTCTCTCTTTAGTGCAGATGGCGTCCGGCAGAGTCGACCAAAACTTCTTCGACTTCTTCAGCTTTTCCTTGATATCAATAACCTGAAAAAAATCAGAGAAATGATGAGAGATAAAGAAAAAAACAATAATCATGTGACTTTGATGACAAGGACTCTCATTCAGAGCTGCTTTTCATGTGGCAGAAAGCTTTTATCGATTTTTATCACAGTTAGCATTCAGGCTTTTACATGCCAGCGCTTTCATCTGAAGAAAATAGATAAATAAAGAAATAACAGTGAAAATGAGATTGCCATGGGGTCTGAACAGGCCTCCAGTATGAATTCTTTCTTTAGCCGCACTATGGATTAAATAGTTCTCGACAGCTCACTGAATTGGAGTGTAAGGCCTCGCTAACCTTGGGAGGGATGTGCAGTGAGGGATGGGCAGGCGAGAGGAAAAAAGAACAGAAAGAAAGATGGGAGAGAAGTCAGGAGTGGGAGAACAGCTCTCTCTGTCTTTATCAGATAACATCGCGGGCAGAAAAGCAGCGAGCAGATTGATTTTGTAGGGATTATTCCTCAGGTTATCTGTGAAAACGCAGCGCGCGCGGTTAGCCGTGTTATTTTCCACTGAGCGCTCTGCTAGCGTCTGATAGCTCGGCTGGGCCTCAATGTTTTTAAGAAAAGATCAGCTTTATTCCTCAAATCCCCTCATCCTCCTCAAACGCTCCCCGTTTACGGTCCACTTACGCGACACGGTCGCGGCTGTTTGGAGCAGCGTCAGTGGATTGTGACGAGCTTCACTCTGAATTCTGAGGTAGCGTTCGCTGCTCATAACTGCTGAAGATTATTTTGAAACATGCGAGCTCAGCTAGCTAACGCTGCGATCAGACAGTTTCCACAGCTCAGAGAACCGTTCCTCTGTTTCATTGTTCCACCTTAAATCTGCTGTCGCTCTTTCCCTTCACTGTGTTCATGTATGTGCGGCAGACAGAACTCTGTCAGTCTGTTGGTTAACATGAAGGAACACGTCGTAGGAAACGTCAGACTAGTCAGGAAAATACCAAAAATACTGACGTTAGACTTTTCGGCAGAATAGTCTCGTCTGATCCCGACATAACAGAGCTACGTTAGCTAAGTAGTGATTAGATATTCATGTCCTGCTTTGGGCTGCTTTAGTCCCTCATTGCTGTTGACTCACTTTCGTGCTGATACAGTACAGCAGTTCTTCTGGTTACTGTTAGAGGCCTAACCTTAATATAGCAGCTAGCTTAGCAATGGAGAAACAAAGTCAAGGTCTGTACAGAGACAGTTAGCGCTAATGTTAACACCAGTGGACCTCAGCTAACTGCTCAGCTCAAAGTACTTCACACAGAGAAAGGCATAAAAACAGCACAGAGCAAAAACAGAAAATAGAGAAATCACTGGACGATGAAGACGGAATAAAAATGACAGAAATAAGGTATTTGAAAAGGAAACATTTTAAAGAAAGGGTTATAAAATGATAATAAAGATAACATCTAATAACAAAATGGGCAAAACAATGAATTAATAAAATGAATTAAATTAATTAAAATTCAAATGAATTATTAGCATTAGTGACCACGGACACTTAGCATAAAAATGTAAATGAGCATAGACCTAATGTTACCATGGAAATGGGAATAGACTTAGCGTAGCCAGGTAAATGAGTGTAGTATAACTATGGAAATGGGTGTAGTGTAATTATGGAAATGGACAGGTGTAACCATGGAAACGAGTGTAGTGTAACCATGAAAATGAGTGTAGTGTAACCATGGAAATGGACAGGAGTAACCATGGAAACAAGTGTAGTGTAACCATGGAAATGGGTGTAGTGTAGCCAAGAAATTGGGTGTAGTGTAACCATGGAAACTATTGTAGCGTAACCATGTAAACAGGTGTAGCGCGCTGCTCCACCTGTCAGTGTTGTGGCTGTTGTTCAGGTGGATGTTTGTGGGTCAGTCGGCGCTGTAACCGTATTCCGTGATGTGGACGGAGGGCGGCGAGAGCCGACCTGCTCTGTTCGTCACTCTGAGAGTGGAGGAGGATTAAAGTCTGGAATCTGAAGAGCGCCCCGGTGGAAAGCCGCCTGTTTGGAGGAGACTCAGCGTCTCCTCGGTGATCGGAGCTGAACTGCAGGCGGATGCTAATTGATTTTATTAATGAAGAGCTCCACAGTCCACAGACAAACAGACTGATGCTTATCTGCCGTTTCTGAGGGACTCTGACAGTAGAGCTAATCAGTTACACACAGAAATGCAGGAGATAAGCAGCGCCGGCTCAGCGCTTCACCATCATTTCACACTGTAATTACCAAAGGCCTGAGCCGAGCACCAGTACTGAAATACTGATGCTGATCAATTATTAATGCGCAGGCAGTAATGTGGACCACTCAGTCTAACCCCTCACCGGCGTCCGCACAGCCTTTAACCTGCACAAACCCACACCGGCAGATTTAGCTCTTCATGCACGCGGAGTGAGCAGAAACCTGCACAAAGCATCTTTCATGTGAATTTATATTGTAGAGTAACCATGGTAACGGATGTAGACCTAACATAACAATTACAACGATTTAGAGTAACCATGGGAACGGGTATAGACCTAACATAACCATGGAAGAGTAACCACAAAAATGGGTGTAGCGTTCTCTGCTACTGCGTCATGTGTGGTACGCCAGAGAACCGGAGAGGCTTGGCCTGGATAATGAAGACTGCACAGAGGATTGTGGGAACAAAGCTCCCAAATCTGGACACAATGTATCCAAGCCGCCTACATAAGGGGGCTAGCAACATCATCAAGGCCTTAACCCACTCAGGTCACAAACAGTCCCCCTCCCATCGGGCAAAAGATCCAGGACCCCCCCCACACACACACAGCTGCTGAAGACTGAAGGCAGCAAATAGACCAGCCCCCCCCCCCTTTCTGTGTGTTTTTTCTCCTGCTGGTTTCTCTAAACTAGTGAGTTTACTTTTTACGTACTTACCAGAATTACACTAAATAAAATGAGTATACTTCACTTACACTGACAAGTATATTTGGCAATATATTTGTACAGAATCTTTTGATTGAGATCGAACACAAATTCCAATATCAAACTGTGTGCTTGATGTGTTTTGTTTTGAGCTGGAATGTTGATTGAGTTCTTCTGTTCGTATATCTTGGTATCATATACAATATTCGCTTGACATTTCTGATTTACGGAGACAAACATGTTCTGAATCCTAAGGTCTTCTGGTGAATTTTTAGATGTGTAGTGGTGGAGTTCATATTGACTAACTTCAGGTCTACTTCGTACAGTTAAAGGTATATTTCAAGTATAAAAACTTTATCTAAACAAAAACGTAGCGGTATGCTTTATAGAGCAAAATATATAAGTATTAAATTATGAGTGTTAGATTAAATTCATAAACAGAAAACAAACAATTATACTTACACTGTAGAATTAGAATTCTAATTCTAGAAAGTATTAAATCAGTAGTTTACTGAGTGTACTTAAAAGTGCACTTTCATAAACTAAAAAGTGGGATGGAAATATATAACTTTACACTAACAGTACTATAAGTTTACTTTTAGTGTAGTCCTAAAAGTTTCCTGCTCTTACAGCTGAAGTGTACTTAAAAGTATACGTTTATATACTAAAAGTGGCCAATTTAGAAGTATTGAAATAGTACAAGTTTACTACCAGTGCACTGATATGAGTATACTTGGTAAATATACCTGAATTGTACTTAAATGTCCTTAATAAAATTAACTTTAAATATACTATTTTTTTGTATCTTTGTTCAGGTACAGCATCTTAAGATCCTCGTTCACTCTGTGGACATCATGTGACCTTCATATTTCAGATGTGTGTTTAAAATAGTGTTATTGAATGATTAAAGTAATTAATACATTCTGATGAAGCTCATTGTGTCCACTGATCTAACAGTGCAGTGCTTTATAAAGGAAAACAAATCTTCATTTTAAAGTCTTTTTCATTTTGAGTAAATTGAGAAATGAGATTGATGGTGATTCATTGTTTGACAGCTCTAACTTTTATTATTATTATTATTATTATTATTATTATTATCATTATTGTTGTGATTATTATTATTAGTATTATTATTATATTATTGCTGTTGTGATTATTATTATTATTATTGTTGTGTGTGTAGCTGTAGGGCTGAAGGTGCGGCTGTGTTGAGTGCTGAAGCTCCAGATCAGGTGGTGTGTGGTTCTCCCGGTGGTGAGGTTATTAGGAGACGGTGTGTGTTCTGGAGGCGATGAGCTGCTTGAGCAGCATAAGCTGAGCGTTACGGAGGTGACAGAAAGCGGACGCTGTGAAGACCCAAGGGCCGAGCGCCACGGAGTCGCCCTGACAGCCTGTCTCTCTCTCTGTCTCTCTCTCCCTACTGCTGCTCTGTCCTCTCAGATCTGCTAATGCAGCGTCCAGGAACGGCCTGCCTGTTTCTCTCTCTCTCTCCCTCTCTCTCTCTGTCTGTCTGTCTGTCCGTCTCTCTCCCTCTCTCTCTCTCTCTGTCTGTCTGTCTGTCTGTCTCTCTCCCTCTCTCTCCCTCTCTCTCTCTCTCTCTCTCTCTCTCTCTCTCTGTCTGTCTCTCTCTCTCTCTCTCTCTCTCTCCCTCTCTCTCTCTCTGTCTGTCTGTCTGTCCGTCTCTCTCCCTCTCTCTCTCTCTCTGTCTGTCTGTCTGTCTGTCTGTCTCTCTCCCTCTCTCTCCCTCTCTCTCGCTCTCTCTCTCTCTGTCTGTCTGTCTGTCTCTCTCCCTCTCTCTCTCATGCTGTTCAAACAGCCTAACACCCTGAAGCACTATTACTACTTACCCTCTTCTTATGCGCTCATACTATAAAGCTTCAGCTGTATTTTAGAAGGAAGAGCTCAGCTCTAGTGTTTCAGGCCAAAAGCTCCTACATTCTGATTGATTTAGTATTTGTGTGGTTTTCTGCACCAAAATCATTTCTAACTCACCATTTTCCAAACCCTCTGTATCCAACAGAATCAGACAGACTGTGCCTTTAAAATTAATCTATGCAAATGAGCTCTGTTATGATTGGTTGCCCTGTATTGTGCCTCATTTAAAAACCAGC